TGGGTCAGTGGGTGGGTGTGAGGAATGGACAACTGGACAGGCGATGCGGACTGACCGGTCCGTGGCCCGTGGGGGCGCGGGTGCCGCGACATGGACGCGTCGGTGCCCTGTTTCCAGTGACCCTGTAGGAGGAGAAAAAGAAGGGCTCGCCGCTGCCCGCTGTACCACGATCGCGTATCGACACATGGGCTTGCACTGCATTGCACACACATGATCATCCCCGTCACCTCCAGCTTGTACCGGCCGTGTATGTGGCTGCCATTGCCATATCCTCATCACATCCAGCTGGTGCCTGCCCTGCCCTGCCAGACCCTTTTTCTGTGCCATGGAATTCTGTTCGTGAACACAACAGTGAATCACCAAGATCGAGACCGAGGCGGACGAGGCCGCGCAGGCACAAATGACAAGCCGCCTCTGCTCCAGGAGAGCACGGCGCCGGCGCGCACAGGGGCAGGACACGGCGAGGGCCCGGCGCGCGGGGGTCGACACGTCCGCGCCGCGGGGGAGAGCAGAGGGCGTCAAATCCGTGTGTGAGTGCGCGCGCGCCGTAGCGGCGCTTGTCTGTCGTCTGTCTCGGCGATCGGTCGGTCTCTCGCGGCGCGCCGGCATGCAACGTCTTTTCTACGACCTGTGGGGTTTTTGGTACGCGCGACGCGCTATCATCGCCATGTGCGGGTACATGTGCCGCCTGGACTGGGAGGCGACCGGCCGGCCTGGCCGGCACAGTGCGGTGTACGCTTGGCATAATGGAACGTATAGTGGTAGCTGCCGTCTTTGGCTAAGCTCGTAAGAGTGCTGTTTGGCCACGACTCTCTCTTTAGTTTCTCTGTCACTTAATTTAGTTGATTTTTTTTAAAACTCATATATTTTGTTGATTATAGATATAACTAGGTACATATCACACATGAGTTATTTACCTGTAAATATAAGTAATTTTTTAAAAAAAACCCTCGAAGATAGTCAAATTAACATAAACTCCTAAAATTCGCTAGGAAGAGCTTGTAAGAAACTAGAAAAAAACTGTGATGACGGTGATCCACCAAAAGAAACACACGACTTGCTAGGAAGTGATCATTCTCTTCTTTACCACGTTGCAAGTTAGATCCACGCTGATGACGGTGACAAAGAAACAAAAAGTGGTTGTAGATGAAAATGTTAGGAAGCATACCCAAAAGAGACCTCCGCTTGGAGGTTGAGGCTTATATGGCAAAACGATGAAAACTCAGCTTCTCCCTTAAGATCCACCACTGGTGGCGAAGGAGGCTTGCATTCTTATGGTTGCCTCACCTAAGATGAATATGACGGCCGGTGGAATCTCCTAAGAAGAAGCAAACCTATCTTACTTCTAAGGGAGCGTCCATGGTAAAGCCAGAGACCATTCCATGGATGAATTTGACTGGAATCAATAGAAAGCCATGGGAATAAAAAAAAGCGATGTTGATGAACTCTTGCACTACATAAAAGCACCAAAAGAAAAGCGAAAAAATCCTACTACCTAATCCCCTTCCCTTCGCTGGCAACCAAAGCCGTTGGAATCGATGGAGGAAAAGGGTCGGGCAAAGAGGAACGAAGGAGCCCATTTTAGGGCCCCTTTGAATTGGAGGAAAAAAATATAAATTTTGGAGGATTTCAATCCTATAGTAAAATTTCAAGCCTTTGAAACAAATGATTGAATCATATCCAATCCTTTGGAATTCCTATAGAATGGACAATCCTATAAAGATTTTGGAGGAAATTTAGCAAAAGCTTCAACCTCTTGGTAACTTTCCTTTGAGTCTATCTCTCTCATCCAATTCCTGTGTTTTTTCTGCGGTTCAATCAAACGGTCATTCTTGTGTTTTTCCTGTGTTTTGCAATCATCTGTTTTACACTTACATTCATGTCTAAATTCTACATTTTTCCTATTCCTACGCTTTCTTAATCCTGCGAATCAAGGAGCCCTTAGACTGTGCTTTGCTAGCTTGCTTCTGGTTGGTCCAAGTCAGGTGCTCTCCAGGCAACCCACCATATATAACCGGATACTCTATCCGATCATAAATATTTAATTTTTATGACAAATATAAACTTCTAAAAGTTTGACCACTTATTTCTATAAGCATCTAAATTGATTATTTGTGGGTCAACCAGAAATTGTTTCTTTTTTATGGAAGGTGTAAATTTATAAAATGTAAAAAGCCTATAATAATGTTACGATAGTACTTTTCAGGTTAATCCATATGTTCTTTTTTTAAAGTTCTAACGGTTTAATAAAATTTTATTCTAAACGTCGGCAATTGCTTATGAACAGAGGGGGCATACAGTTACATGAAGATACTGGTTGTCGAAAAAGTACACCCGAGCAGGTACTTTATGTACATCATAGCTACGTGTACACGTACTTGAACTTGCGGATACCCGGACATGTACATGTATATATGTAAGGCCAGTAGCAGTGCAAGGCACGCTTGACGTGCCTCCAGCCCATTTAAGCAAGGATTTTGGCCCAAAATTCATCTCTAGGTTACGCACCCCATACCACAGTGCTGGTGACCCAATCTTGTGACCCCACGCCTTAAAAAAATCTCGTGACCTTCCTCATCCTTATCCCCACGACGAAGGAGGCGGCGCGGTAGCCTCGAGATGGCGACGCAGCGGCCCACGCGACGGCGGCGGCGGCTCGGCTGACGACGGTAACCTCGGCAGTTGCCTCGTCGTCCTCCGCGGATCTGGAGCAGTGGTGCGGCGTCCTCAGGCTCGTCTCCGGCCGGCACGACGTCCACGGCTATCTTGAGCGGCGCGACGTCCTCGGACTCGTCTCCGGCCAGCATGGTGGCCTCGGCGGCAGAGGTCCTCGAGGCGGCGGCTTCCTCGAGGCCGAGCGGCGGCGGCGGCGTCCTTGGCACTCCCTCCGCCGACGGCAGAAGCAGCAGCAACAACAACAGCCTCCCTGAGCCCACGCGGCGGCGGCGGCTCGGCCAACGACGGCAACCTCGGCGGTGGCCTCCTCCTCACTTCAAGATCGCGTTGATCTTTCTCGTCACCGCCGTCGCATTTCTCTTCATCCCGTCCTCTAGCTTCTCCCCTTCCTCACCGGAGCCGGATAGGATTGAGGATTCCAGCACGGGAGCAAGATGCCGAGCGAGGGAACGACCTCCACAACGCAAGGAACGGCAGCACGCGCCCTCGTTTTCGACGAGATAACTTGTCGCCCAGATAGGGGGCGAGCAACCAAACAGAGCTCCATGCTCTAGTGTTACGCACGCACAAATCCGAGCTGGCGACGCGAGGTTCCGCGCCACGTCCCGCACTGTGAGAGGCCTAAGTACATTGTTGCTGGCTACAGTGAATTTGATCCGAAAGGTTTGTGTGTCCTGATAGGTTGCAGGACATCCACAATTAGACGATGACGACATCAAAAGCATGATGTTTGAAACAGAGCCCATTAATTCTGTCATATTTTCAGTATATGTACTAAAAGCACAGAGTCATGAAATTTATATATTTTGCCGATTTCAAATTACATTTTTGGTTTCAGAATTCCAGTTTCAAAATGGGAAACTGGGTTCCAACTTTTACTTCTGGATGATTTCATTTCACCCAAAACCGTTTTATCTCCATTTTAAGGGACCCCAAATTAAAACCTACTACGACCTCCTCCTGTTTTAATAGACGACACCATTATTTTGAGATATGCATTTGATCATTCGTTTTATAAAAAATACATAATTATTATTTTAATATGTTGTAACTTGGTTTCAGATACTTTAAGCATGACTTATATTCTTACATATTTGCAGCAAAATTTTAAAAAGACAATGATTAAAAGATCGGACGGAGTGTTTTTGTTGGTTTATCGGTCGTACAATATAATTTGGGACTCTAAAATCCATGATCTAGTACACGAAGTTCTGGAATTGAGCTCTACTAATATACAATATACAAGCTTGTTTGAAAGTGTGTGGACAAGACGGGGACGTAGGGGTGAACTATTGACAAGAACCCAGCAACCAGCTAGCGGAGCCCGGCCACTTCGGTGGTGTTTGAATCTCCTTACATAAAGATAAAGATGAAGATTAAGTTTTTTAAGCAAAACGATGTGGTATTAACGTATGATTGTTTGAGTTTTAATTATTACAAACTTGAAAAATAGATTAATATGATATTTTAGAGCAACTTTTATATATAAAGTTTTCGCACGAAACGTACCATTTAACAGTTTGAAAAGCGTGCCACGAAAATCTTAATCTTCATCTAACTTTTGTTGATGAAAAGAACGGGCCGAATCTTCCCTTTTCTTGCAGGTAACCAGCTGATTTTAATTTTGCTACAGTTTTTGTAGCCATATCTAGCTCTTCGTATTACTCGAGAGAACAAAAATGTCTTCACACATTGATACATACAGAGAATATTTGATCAAGATCTACTCCCCAATTCATTTTTTACTCCATCTTCATGATGTCCAATTATTATCTACTTTCTCCGAGTTGATAATACTTATCGTTTTGAATAAGGACACGATCTCTAAAAAAAAAAGTTTTGACCATTATTTTTTATTATAATATGTATAAAAGTGTTAACAAATACATGATTTTATTAATGTATTTTTTAAGACTAATCTATACATATAGTCACCATATTTGAAAGACAAATATTTTAAAAATAATTTATAATCAAAGATTCTAAAGTTTGACCTTATACCTTTGTCTAAAACGACAAGTATTATCCGCTCGAAGGAAGTATACTACTCATCCACAGGAAAAAAAAAGAGAGCCAAACCATCGATATTAAAACGATCGAAATGACAGGGAAAAGGAGGTCAAGAATCTACGCTGCCTCTGAATGTTTCCAGCTCCATACATTTACACACCAGCTTACCGTTGAAGCTCACAGCCGATACGTTCGGCGAGAACAATGCCGGCCTAATCGCCCAAGATTATTAGATACATGCATCATGCATGCATACATATATAAACAGATATATATATATCCATGTCATGTCACCAAAAAGTGAGATAAAGGGATACAGAAAAAGTGACACCGATCGGATTACAAAAACAAGTGGCAAGAAGTAGTGATCACAGGATCAAACAAAGTACACTGCAAGCACCAGCGAATTGAATCGAAGAACAGCAGTTGAATAGTAGGTAGGCATATATGCAGGGGGGATGCTAGGACTCTCCTGCCATGGATGGCCATTGCTTCAACTAGTGTAGCTAGCTAGAGATCTCTCACTGCTGCTAGTCAACCATAGCTTGCACATTGCGATTGCGATTGCTCACTCACAATCCTATGATCACCTTGATTAATTCACAAATCAACTAGGATAATCTGATAATGTGCATGCAAACAAGCACGAACTGGTAGTCTGTAGGCCTGCCCTGTAGCTACGAGCTAGCTAGCTCACACACACGAGCAAAGCTAGCTAGCTGCAGCTAATCACAGTGTGCCTTATTTGACAGTGAAATTAATGTAGGGGAAATAGGAAAACTAATAGAAAATGCCAGTAGAAGTAGTAGTAATTAATTAAGCTCGATTATATTGTTTTGTCCATGCAAGATCGGTCGTCGCGGTGTCAGGGTCGTCGTCGTCGTCGCCGTCGTCGGTAGCCATTAGCGGCGGCGAGCGGCGGTCTCGCGCTGCGCGTTGAAGTAGACGGCGGCGACGGGGAGGCCGAGGTCGTTGTCCTCGGCGAACTGGCGGGTGCTGAAGCGGTCCCTCGACGGCGGCGGGCTCACCGCCTGCCGGCGCTTCTGCCGGAACAGCACCAGGATGAACCTGTGGATGCCGATGTTTGGCCGCGGGCTCTCGTAGCTCACCACCTCCCTCCCTGCATCACCATTGATCACACACAAAATTAATTATAGAGAGATCAGAGAAAGCTATAACCTAGATAAGACAAATAAATATTGTTTTGATTAATTAGTACATATTTTTTTTAAAAAAAAAATAGTTACTACATTACCAGTTTACCACAAATTAATTGACCTTGTATTGTGGCTAATTGTTCACTCTGGATCTCTCTGATCAGTCAATTCTCATCAAGGTTCAAAACTGGCAAAGACTAAAGCAGGATGTACAGGGGAAAGGCTTACCAAAAGAGGCATCAGTAGTCCCAGGAATATCAGTAACAATCCTGCAGCAAGGTGGTCCAATCAAAAGGTCACCTGATTAGCTACACATACTCTATAGAATGCATTGATTGAAAATTAATCTGGAAAAACAATGATTAACAGCATGCATGACAGAATCTTTGCAAGCAATCAATCATGGCGTGACCAGTGACCACCTATACAAATTTGTCTGGCTATGTAGGTGACACTTGTACCTAATAATGTCTAATCAACTTGAATAAGACCGAGCAATATTAACTTGTACAGGTAGTAGTATAAATTACCAGTGAAGATGCTCCCTCAGGTATGGATCACTAGGCCCTGGCACATCAGGGTCAGTCATCACCTGAATTAAGCACACAAGTACAAAGGATCAATTAGCACATAATGGACACATACATATTACAGTATAGATGTGCGATAGTCTGATGAATCCAGCAGCAGATGAGACAGGCATACGCACCAATGTGAAGAAGGACCTGAGGTCGCCGCCCTGGACCTCGACGCGCGGCTTGCCGGCGACGGCGGAGGGGAAGAACTCGTGGCCGTTGAACACCTGCTTGTTGGCGCCGTAGGTGGCCGTCATCTTCACCGTGGGGTTGAAGTTGTCCAGCACCTCGCCGATCACCTTCCCCACAATGAGAGGCTCCAGCACCCTCGACATGGCCGTATATCTATCTCAAGATTATCTCACCTGAATTGATTCGATGGTCAGTGGCTGAACTAGTGAACTAATAACTGATGAGCTGCTAAGTGTAGTATACACTCTTGTACTGCTCTCTCAGCTCTCTCTCTGAATATATGATGTGGCTAGGTGCAGGCAATTCAGTTCAGGATGGTGAAGAGAGCAAGGCGCAGGGGCGATATTTATAGATGCCAAGAGGCGAGAAGAGCCTATCTGTTCTTGTCCTGTCCTGGCTGGCTATATTCTGATCGTGCAAGCTGAGTGTGATGGATCATAGATTACACATATTTTCGAATAGGAGAGTAGTATCGGATAAAAAGCTCAGGGGCATGTCTATCACACCAGAGATCACATTAGCATGTCAAATTGTTTAATCCTTGCGGTCATTTTCTTTCAGGAGTTTTGATTATAGTATTGAGGCACTTGCGGCGTAAAAGTTCCTAACTGGATGTATCCTAAAGATATTTATTCTGTGAAGAAGATACAGAGGGGCAATGGAGTTACAATTATTTGTGCATAGATTCTCTCACATTTGTCAAAAGAAGAAAAGGCCCTTGCCATCCATACGCCAACAGTTTCCAAGTTGACAATGAGCACCCTCTCTGTGAAATCTATGTACTTTTGTTTTGCTTCATGTACATGTCATAATCCATCCATGTAAGAAAAGGGTAGCTAAGCATTATCCTTAACGTTAACTTCATAAACATGCTAATGTAGTAATGTTCATCTCTACAGGTACACTAAGCTCTCCTTCGGAACAAATGAAAAGGTGGAGGAAATTTGGACGATTGAAATTAATCCTATGAAAATAATTCCTATATGATCATTTGGATCAAAGGAATGGCTCTTCCAAATCATAAGATAATAACACTTCATCCCACTCCGTTTTTCTCAATTTTTCGATATTTGTTTTGCTCCTCACACGCATGACACGTGTAGGCTTAGGTGTGAAAACTCCTCGTAACATACTCCCTCCGTTTCAAAATGTTTGACACCGTTGACTTTTTAGTACGTATTTGACCATTCGTCTTATTCAAAAAGTTTAAGTAATTATTTATTCTTTTCATATCATTTGATTCATTGTTAAACATACTTTTATATACACGTATAGTTTTACATATTTCACAAATTTTTTTGAATAAGACGAATGGTCAAACATGTGCTAAAAAGTCAACGGTGTCAAACATTTTGAAATGGAGGGAGTACATACGAACCGGCAATAGGCTGCCTCTCAGTCATTTCACTGTATACCAATGGCATAGTGTTGCATTGTGTCCGGTAGCTTTTACCGTAGGCAGCCTGTTCTGGCGTGCATGTAAGTCACTTACACCGTCCTTCACGTTTTCCATAAAAACCTTAATACTCTGACAAATATTGAAACAATCTATTAACTGCTCTTGCCTTGTTATAAATTTTGTGGAAAACCCCTTATACTTCCAACAAATATAATATGAAGAAGAGAAAATCTCGTTTTTAGGGATGACGCTGTTATACTAAGTTTCTTTAAAAATCCTACAGAATGGGCCATTTCATAGGAATTTGTAGAAAAAAACCAACATGAGCTAAGACCTCATGGTTTCTCTTGTTTGAGTCATAGAATTCCTATATTTTTTCCTATGCTGTTACCAAACAACATATTTTGCTAATTACTTTGGATTTCTTCCTTGTAGGATTCAACAATACGTGACATTTGATTCCTGTTTTTTTCAAATCCTCCGTTCTAAAATAGCCCTAATTAGACACTTCCTAGGAGCGCACATGTTTAAAAAAATCTGACCATTGATTAGATGGATTGCATTATCGTAACAGTAGCATAGACTAATTTAATAGTTATAAAATTCATAAATAATAAATATGATATGTGCCAATCTTAGTATCACAATTTGGTCTTTTATTAATTTAATTCTAAAATTCAAAACTAATAATTAACATGTTGTAACTGATATGGACACTTCTTTTTAATATAAGCAACTTATAATTTCAAAGGTAACTAAAAATTATTAGAATTTTATATTTATATAGTATCAGTAATAATAGTCCATTAACTTACGGGTTGATGACTAATGTATTTAAATCGATTAGATTATGGAAAATAGCTCAATGTTCAGCACTTTACTATGGAATCATCATATCCAGGACGTGCACTCTGTTTTGTCTTGAAAAAACCTTCAAGGATTAATCTGTGGTGTTGATTGTACAAACCCATGCACATGTCAGAGATGGCAGCTTGATTATGCTAATTAAGTGGTTGCTTCTTTTCTTTTGCCCCTCCTTTTAAAAAGGAGCATATATACAATGTCAATGTAAATTCTCCATGTCCACGCTATCCTTTTACTTGCTTGTACATTACTTTGTATTAAACTATGTATAAATGTATATTTTCTTTATATCATTCTTTGCAGCTGGAGTGATCAAGCTTGGACATTCTCAAAGCTGCACAGCACAGCTCCACCCACAAGCATCCATTTTTCTCTTGAGGTAAAAAAGGCAGAGCATGATGAATCATCTTGCTGTTATGGGCTATGAATTGCAAAAGGCCATGCCCTGAACGGCATTGCACTAGCAAGGAGTTGCCACTCCAGGTGATTATTCCTTCCTGCATCCGCAGCTGCTCAGCTTGGGTGCAGGAGGCGGCCATAAACTAAGCTCAAGTGGTTGAAGGAGGCCTTCCTCCACTACTTCACAAAGTGGCCCTGTGCCAATGTGTTCTCTCTCTGCCTGCAGCAGCAACAAACAAACACTTCTTTCCAGGGAAAAGGAGATCCTCAATTATGAGCTCTTCATTAGGCAAAGGTTAGTGCTCTTATTTCCATAAATGGTGGAGCCACCTCCAAGTACATCCATGTTCTTTGCACATCGCAATTTAGTATAGTCATCTCATCTCCCTGCTGCATGTAGCAGCTACTCGTGCTTGCATGCTGTGTGCTAAGCTAACTGGAGCCACACTGGTAAACTACAATTGCCTAATTAACATTCAAATCGAAGCAAAGAAGTTTAACCCGCATTCTCTGCCACTGGGAAACGTCAAATTACGTTATGGATGAATTATGATGTTCTGTATGTGTTCTCTTTACAGTTTACATGGATGTATTGCTCAGCCAACTGTTGTCTGAGTAACTTTAATTATATTTTACTCTGGAATAGTACTCCCTCGTTTTTAAATACATGACAATATTGACTTGGATATAACTCTTGATCATTTATTCTATTCAAAAATTTAGTGCATACATATATATAAAAGTATAAGTCACGCTTAAAATACCTTTAATAAAACAAGTAATGATAAAAATAGATCATATTTACATAGTTTTTCTAATAAGATGAACTATCAAACGTTTTTTCTAAAAGTCAACATCATATATTTAAAAGCAGAGTTAGTACGTAACAAAAAAAGAGTAGGGCACAACCTTTCTTTTATTGGCTATGGTTTCAAGTGTGAGGCACTGCAGCCACAAATTCCACTTATTTGAGGGCATGTTCGGAATGATGTGAATTAGCTGTGATATATTTGAATTGATAGGGAAATCGCACATGAGTTAGGTATAATTTGCCTATCCAAACAAAGCCTTGAAGGGGGCAAGGTGCCAAGGTACTTGTGATACTTTTACTGTGGTCTCTGTTGTTATTATTTTACTACCTGTATTATTTTTTTGACATGATTACTACCTGTATTATTATCAGTATAAATAATCTAAACCATTAATTTATGAGTTCTACTACCAATAGAAAAAAAAAATCTAGTTGAGATGGTAGTTCACATATATTTGGTCTACTAGATGAGAAAATGAAATTTCTAGGTTGATTTTACTACGAGTAGAGACCACCACAAAAAGTATAGGTATAATATATATACCCAATTGAAAATTTTAGTTATTAATTGCAATATAAAAAGAAATAAAACTTCAAAGAAATTTTAATTGCATCCAAAGAATTGTAGTTTGAACTTCTAGTAAATTCCTTTTTATATTGCAATTAAGAACTAAAATTTTCAATTGGGAATGTATATTGTACCGACAATTTTTACGGTGGTCTCTTGTAGTAAAATCAATCTAGAACTTCCATTTTCTCCTTTTACATATTTTTTTATTTGTCCTGAGTCCTGACAGATCTAATTAATTTCTTACATCCATGGTGAAAGAATTTGAATCTATAGCAGCATGCATTGATCTTATAGATTAATGCGAGAATTTTGCTTTTTACCATATAGATGTTCCTAGAGGAATCTTCAATTAATTATATAGTTAGAGTTGGTCAATGTACAATCTTCCAACACTAAATTATATAGAGGCTGGTGTAACGTGTGTAAGCTAGCTAGCTTATGATGATTCATGGCCATAGATCACTGAATCCAAAAAAAAAAAAGAAAAAGAAGAAGCGAATTTTAGGAAATGATCTAATATCAAACAAATAGAAGTGGTGTGACTTCGAACCCAAGCCAACTGACCTACCACCTTGTGGAGCTAGCCAGAAGACCTCTACTGAATCCTAATCCTACTGTGTCATTTGGACTTTGGAGTTTGCCAGTGCAAAAAGAAGTGTACAGATCAGTAGATAGCTACTTCAGTAATCAGTGTACCATCACTTGGTGCGAAAAATGGAAAAGACTTGTTTCTTATAAGGACTAGATCCGCATTAAACGCTGCTTTACAGACAACCATTCAGGATGTTGAAAAATCACACACCCTACATACTCTGGAAGATGTACCAGGTGAAGGTACAAAATGCCAAATGCTTTATCATTTCTGGGCACATGACATCTTTGCCGAATGTTCTCTTCTTCTCAAATGCAAAAGCAAATGGAAAAAGGGTAAGCTGATTTCCATGGGGGAAATTATGCTTAATGCTTTCCTCAAAGCAGAGCGCCATATTGTCAATTTGTCATCGGCTGATGAGCTTAACAGCCGAAAGGACAAGCATCAGTGGCAAATTTAATTATATATCATTTTGTGGCAACATGTCAGTTTGCAGATTCTTCTCCCTTCAGAATGGACGATAAGAAGAATTTATTTTTCAAAAGATAATGGATGAGAAGATGCGAAGAACATATTTATCATTCTTCATCACCAGAAGTGAGCAGGGGATAAAAAGCTATGTTGCTATATTTCATCTGCATTGGAGTGTTGAGGTCAGTAATTTCCCTCAAATGGTGAACAATTTTCTGAAACATTTTTGAGGGCATATAT